TATATATATATATATATATATATATATTCCTCTATTTCTACTGTATATACTAATATTATTATATATATATATATATATATATATATATATATATATATATATATATATATATATATATCCTCTATTTATATATATAACTATATTATATATATATATATATATATATATGTAACTAATATTATATATATATATATATATATATATATATATATATCCTCTTTTCTCTCGCCAGAATATATATATATATATATATATGCAATTTTTCTCGCCAGAATCTAACTGACATATTTATAAGTTTACTATCCTTGTTTGGAAAACTGCTGCCACATATGGTCTGGTGTTCCTGTTATATATTTAGAGATTCTTGATAACATCCAAAGAATCTGCAATGTCATTGGTACTCACCTGGCATCTTGGTTTCAGTCACTTCCTCTTCACCATAGTTTAAATTCCTTGTGTCTTTTCTGTAAATACTCTCAGGGTAATTGTTCTGATGAACTTTCCTCTGTGGTACCTAGACTGTATGAATTCAAACGCAGTATTAGATTAACGGCAAGATCTCATCATTTTACAGATAAAAAGTTCTCGTCTAACAGTTTATTTTCTCGCTTGTGCAGCTTTTTTATGGCTTCTTGCTTTCCAGTCAAGTTTGATCTTCAAAAATTTAAATGCAAAGTCAATCATTATCTTCTGCCTTAATTTCTGTTCTTTTATTGTTCTCGCTCCTTAATAATGTTTTTCTTTTTTTCTTATATTCTTTCACACACTGTAACGTTCTGTGCCTTAACGGCTTCATTGTCTTGCTTGGGATGAAATAGATAGATAGATAGATAGATAGATAGATAGATAGATAGATAGATAGATATGAGGTAATGAAATGTTATCGAAGGGAGGTAATTCACTAATTGTTATGTTAAAATCCTTTCACGCCAAAATGCTACCCAAATCTTTCTTTCACTCACTCACTCACTCACTCCTCATTAGTGGCTAGAGTAATAATAATCATATTACCCGAGTTCTTTGTGAACTATAAGTCGTCTCCACAAAAATGTAAAATACCGAGAGAGCTGGACCAATTTATGGCCCTACACTCATCGCCAACTGAATGACACCGCATTATTTATTACCATGTGTCAAACCTACCATTGTTGATCAAGGGCGGTACGGAGGAGAAAATTCCATGTCTTCTCATTAATAAATAATTTAAATAATTAAAAATCTTAATAATGCCAACTATCCTCAAAATGAGACGGTTGATATTAATGGGCTAGATATGTAGAAATTTAAAATTAACACAATATTTTTTACAAACGTATAATTAATAATACTGATACTTTTATAATTAATACCAGGTTTTACAGCGAGCGCGAATAGGTTTCATTTTTATCACACCTTCATTTCATTTCAAGGGAACTAACTCTTAATATATATGGATTTGCCTCCCGTGTTAGTTATAAAAAGCTCACGATCAAATTAAATAACAGAACATTATAAGAATTTCTCTGTATTTTGTTTCTATTCTCACCTTATTTTTTAGTCTTTGACATTCTTCATTGACAAAAGCAACAGTTTGAAATGACAATTTTAAGTGATTTGCATACACAGCGTTAAAAAATAAAGCTAAATTGTATGAAAAACTTAAATATTCTTGATAAATATTCTTAAGTTATGAAAGACGAACGAAATAGAATCATTGCATTGATTATATACATATATTGTTAACAAAATACAAAGTTTTATAGCGTGAAAAATGGCATCATAAAAAGCAAATTGAACGATCTTGGATCAAAAAGCAAGACATATAGAATATAAGGAAAAATATTTAACAATATCTGTCTATTTTTCAGTTGCATTGGAGACATCTCATAGCAAATAGTCCGGGATATGTGTCAAGTAATTGAAATGAAATGTAGTTGAAAAAACAATCATCACCATAATTTTTACACTACATAAATTAAAATATATATTGTAATATTCGAATAAATCCCTACATGTGCCATGTCCATTATAAGGAATTTATAAGTTTTCTGGTGCGAAAATTGAATCTGACGCAATTTTATTATTTAACAAATTGAATCCTAGTTCAAGAAAACCGAATTTTGTCAATATTAAACAATAATCGCTTATTTTATAATGACCCCGGAAAATCATGTTCATAGTTTCGTTTAATGTTAATTCAGATTTATGAATGATTTATTTCTGTCATGAAATTCAATAAAAATTTCAAATTGAAACTTCGTTTAAACTTTAAATTATTTAGTTTTTCCTGTAAATTACTATCACAAGCTGAACCCATTTATTCCATAACATCAATAATGATGATGATTGTATAAAACTTCCGATTCTACTAATTGAATGCTGGGAAAAAAAACTGATCAAGCAGGAGTTTGACTAAAACTGTTGTTGAATTATTAGCTCATCTTGAGGCATCTTTGTGCTGCTTCAACTATTAGCAGCCAAATTACATCTTTCCAAAGTCAGTCGAGTGGAACACCGTTGGAATTCGTCTGGACATTCTTCCAATTGACGAATTAAACAACTGGTTATTCATTCATGTTTTTAAATGAAACAGAAAACTTGTTGTGGTAGAGTATGACTCTTAAATGTGGCCTTGTATGAGTGTGAAGTATTAAGGGGAAATGACAGGGAAACATACGTGTTATATTTAACGAAACAAGATAAGGAATTTATTTACAGATTTACACATCTGAAGTTGTTTCAGGAAAAGTAATCAAATATTTAAAGTTCGTAGTTTATAGGTCCTGATCTGGCATATCAGTTTCAGTCACTTTCCCATCACCATAGCATAACTTCCCTGTAACTTTTCTATAAATATTCTCATGATAATTGTTCTGATAAGAAGAAATTCTTTGATACCTCAAATTTAAGTGCAGTACTAGATTGGCAACTTGGTCCCATCATTTTACTGTTGAAATTGCTAGATGTAACCATAATTTCTATGCTAACAGTTGCTTCTCTTGCACTTCTTGCTTGTGGAACGCTCTTCCAGCTTTTTGCTTTCCAGTTAAGTTTGATCTTCAAAAATGTAAATGCAATATCTATCTTCATCTTCTGTCTCCTTGAGTCCTGTTCTTTTATTTTCCTCTCTATCAGGTTAGGGTCATCATTTGAAGTTGAGAAATGCGTTGACAAATAAAAACTAAAAGTGTTGAATTGGTTGATAAAATAACCCAAAAGAGAGTGAAACAAAATGAAAGAATTTTTATTCAATCAGGAATATTTTTATGTACAGAAAATTTTGAAGATAATTCCTGAAAGAATGTTCATAAGAGTCTCTGTAAATGATGAAGGAAAAGTTGTACTTACTCTGTTGATGAATTAAACATTGAGTTAGATGTATTGTCTACACCAGGGGTTGGCAACCTTTTTTTTAACTATGTGCCAACTCAGGGTTTTAAAATCATTCTGTGTGCCACCGGCAAACATATTTTTAGACGAGATCAATATATCTGTTCTACTATATATATTTTATATAGTAATATATAGTATATATACTTTAGTATATATTAAAATTGAAACAGCTAAATATCTTCTTTGCATTGCAGTAATTATTGGTTCGGACTTCATGATGTCATTTGCAGCTATGTGCCATTGGAAATTGCTTTGCGTGCCATAAGTTGGCAACCCCTAATCTACTCTATGTGTATCTATTGCACAGGGTGCTCATTTTGGCATTCTATCCACGGATAGAAAACACAGAAAAGAAGCTACAAAATCTCCTACAGAAGATAGTGACAGAGATTGAGAAGAACGGACTAAGCATAAACTACAAGAAAGAATGCATGGTCATCAGTAAAAAGATGAGCCTGAAAGGCAATTTGCAGGTCGGGAACACTAGAATCAAGCAGACACAGAAGTTTAAATATCTGGGAAGCATTTTAACAGAAGACAGTGTAAAACTGAGATCTGTAGACGTATTGGATTCCAAAAGCTGGGCAGAGTATTGCAAGACAGGAGAATTTCTTTGGTAACAAAGAAAAGAATACTGAGCTGTTACATGACATCTGTTCTTCTTTACAGCAGAAAATGTTGGATGATTTCCTCAAAGATTAAGAAGAGACTCCAGACGACAGAGATGTGGTTCTACAGAAGGATGCTAAGGATATCATGGACCGAGCGTCTCAGCAACAGCGATGTCTTAGAGAGTTTGCAAACAAGGAGGAGGCTTATACTTAACATCAGGAAGAGGCAGCACAAGTTTCTGAAATACATAATGAGGAAGGAGGGCCTGGAGAATCTGATACTCACATGGTGAATAGAGGGAAAGAGAGGCAAAGGAAAACAACATATTACATACCTAGTGGGCTTAAGCAAGTGGATGACAGAACGTGGACTGGGGGAGATGGCAGAGGGAAGGAAATTGTTAAGAGCTACAAGGGGTAGAGAGAAGTGATGAGACATGATCGCCTACATTCTGAAAGGACATGGCACATAAAAAGAAAGAAATCCTGATCTCAGCACAAAATGAATGAGAGATAGTCTCTTTGCATGCTGAAAGTTTTTTTTTTTTTATTTTTACATATGTCCAAATGCTGAAAATGGTTTGCTGCTGCTGCTAGTGTTATTAATGTATTCATGCCTAGCAAGAAGGTTTAACATCTGCTGCAGTACCTTTTTTGGAAAAGAAACATCCCTCACAAACTAAAGATAAACTTGTTTATAGCAGTGAACAAAAACATAGAGATGATATTAATCCAAATGATCCAATATTTTGCATCTTGTCCTAATTGTTGTATTGCAATGGAACCTAAACCAGGTTACCATCTTTGATATTCTAAATGTTTTTATTTATAATTTCAAACCTTATTTTATTGTTTCAGTTTCCATTATTGCTTTATATCATTTTTGGACTATTATTTTCATTTTTATCAAAGCATAAAAAATACTAATTCAGAGATATATGAAATAATAAAGATTTTTCATCTGACTACTTCAGAAAATGATCGATAATATCAATTTCATTTTCTTTCCCTTGACAGAGCACCTTTGGTGATAAGCTAGTCACAAACTTCCTTTTTGACAGTGACTACAGTGATGATCCACAATTACCTTCACCAAATCAACTAAAATATAAAATTTTGATAAAAAACAAAAAAATCAAGGAGTTTGACACCCAGGCAACCATGAGAAGGGTAGGTAACTCATTTTTTTATCATTTTTTAACCATCTTTAAAAGCCAAATTTTATTTGAAAACAACTCTTTCATGTAAAAGTATTTTGAAATAGAAATGTGAAAGCAGTTTATTTTATTTGCAGCTAAAAAATATATTCCAAAGTCATGTTTCCATTTTAAAATGCAAGAAAGATTAAAATTAAATAATTATATGTAATGGCAACCACCTTAATGCTGAATATGACAGCTGCAAGATCATTCATTGTAAGACTCAGTAGTGCCTAAAATGGAGATGGCTTTTTAAACCAAACAAACTTTTAAAAGCTCTAGCACAAAGTTGGCAGACATGAGACATATTTTGTTATCAAAACTAAATGTTTATATCTTTATTTTTGTGAATATTTGTGTAACTTTTCAACACACCAACTGACATTCTCCCTCAAATCTAACATGAATTGATAGAATTTAATGCCATTTTAAAATTGCTTGATACTTTAGTACAAAGACTTTGCATGTGACTTGAATTTCTATTTTACTCAAGCAAAATCTACTACAAATATCACAGGTAAGCTTAAGCCTGTTATCAAAGCATATAAAGAATAGGTCAAATTTTGGGACTACTTCCTGGATTTAATAGTAAGTTTCATGGCTTCCTTGATTTAATTAACTCCTACTACTAAAATAGGACGTTGAAAGTATATAATCCATTAGTGTGCATGGAATTCAATTGTTAGAGAGAGGGTGACCTAAAATTTAAAATTCCCAGCTTTTAGCCAGCAAGGTACATTAGGCAAAAAGAGCTAAGATTTTAAGGAAACATTATAACATAAAGGGTTTATTTTTTGTTATTATTATTACTGAAGATGAACTGTTCAGGAAGAGAAAAACCCTCTGGCCCTAAGTGCCTAGTAAATTAATTTTGTAAACAGCATATAACCTTCATTTTTTTAGGCAATTCTTTAAAATCCAGAGAGTGGCCCCAAACATTTGCCCTATAGTATATATCAAGGGTTTTGCAAGCCACATGTGTCTCCATGATCTTTAATATTCAGTTTGTGGAAATGTGTTGTCTGAGTTCCTTTTTTCATCACCAGCCTTCTTAAGGTGGTTGGAATGTCAAACTGAACCCTTTATTTCACTCACTGGTGTAGACTTTTCTTGTTCCACATGCCATGTCTAATGGATGTCAGTTATCTCCTGTTAATTCCCCTTTATAAGTTCTCCACTGCCTTAACCAGGTATTGACCTCACTGAATCTAACTGACACCTTTATCCACTGAACCATTTGCTTTTGAGGACATCTGTGTATGAATTTCTGGGTATTATAAACCTAATGTCTTCAGCAACCGTTTTTACCAGTGCTCATATTGCAATTTTTGCTGTTATTTGGGCAGAGAGGAACACAGATGAGGCTATGACAAAGGGCAGAGTTTCATCCAAGGAGGTAGACAGACCTGAACCTGTTTCTGTGGGGTTTACGGGGAATTTTGGCCAATCCTATGGGCTCGGATTGTCCCACATTAAATTTGGCTTTGTGCCACATCCTACTATGTGGGGAGGTTGGTAAATATTACTAGCTGGGATCTGTTCAGTATGACTCAGAATTACGCAAGAACTACCGACATTCCAATAGTAGCACTTACTACTGGATTGACTTGCAACGACCTTGAGCATAACTGTTACATTTATTCTCATTGTACTGGCTTTTTACAATAAACCATTACTTATTTTATCCACCTGGTTTTTCAAGTATATATCTGTGAGCTGGAACATCATTATAACTATTCCAAGCCACTCCATTAATATCTCAAAATACCAAAGAATATTTTCTATTGAAAGTTTAAAATTGTATGCCTAAAATATGCTTTCCATAACCAACAAGGTACGGTCTTTGTTTGGAGTTTGGTGATATATATAGATCAGATTTTAAGAAACCATTATAACTGCTCTCAATCTCTCTTACCCTCTCTGTAAGGGCCATGTCCATTCAGAATGAAGGTGATCATGGCTTCCCACATTTTCCTTTATGATCTATATCATGAGTTTGGTGACATAGTAATTGTGATTTCAATCTCTGCACCATGTAGTACAGATTTAGACTGAGTGGAAACAGGTTGGCAATAAATGAGCCCTACTAAATTAGAACAAGATGAGATATCCATAGACATGGTGAGTGTGTTGCGAACAATCTACCCCTGTAGATTAAATAATCTTACTCAGATCACCAGACACTTTGAGAAAGCCAAAGAACACAACAACCAAAAGATCATTATAACAACAGCAAATATAAGGATATTTGTCAGACTGTAAATAATGTATATAATGATAACTCCTCATCCCAGAAATTCAGACAGAAAAATAATTAATGTAGAAAAAAGTGCAATAATTCCCAATAGCCCCTTGCAGCTTAGGGGCATTATCACCTTGCTTGGGGTGAGCTGATTAAAAAAAATATTAAGTGAATAAAATCATTTATAAAATGCTGAATAATTTTTTGTTACTAAATCCATTTTGTTACTTTAAGAAAAGCAAATATTATATTCATCTAGACCAGTGATTTTCAACCAGTGTGCCTTGGAAGGATCATAAGTGATGTAATGGAATAACCTGTCACCCCCATGAGTGACTATACTATAGGTAGTAACTGCCTATAAGTATCTATCCATTACTCCACTATGCCTCCTTACAGGGCAGCACACTTTACCAGCCAGTCAATAAGTAGTACATTTCTCGGAAATGTAGACATTTGGACTCAGGCTCTGTTGTTAATGAAACGTATAACTATTTCCACATCCAGACATTTATTATTTTTATTTTATTTTCAACCTGTCATTTGTTTTCATTATTGTATCACTTTGTTGAAAACATTCTTGCAGATACAGATAATTCCTTGGCAGATATACATGTCATTTTGCTATATATCTTGTGTATGAAATGAGTGTGCTGACAGACTTGGATAATGAGCTGTTTTGCTAAAATCCTTTCCTGAGACATCATTACATATGCAATTGTCACACACTACACAAACTCACTCGGTAGCCTTTCACTGCCAGGAGAGCAATCCCATGGAATAATGTTGATGCATGTATGGTGAGGTTCATTCTGATAGTTGCCAAGTTACATTAAAGACACACAGCTGGTTATTAAGATATTCAAAATGGTTGGATACTTTACGGACAATCACGGATTCCTCAGAGCATTGCATCTTATAGGCATTATTTTGTTACCGAGTTTTAGAAGAATAAATTTGCAAATGTTTATTAAATAGCATCAAATCTCTCGGTCCTCTTGTAATCATAATATCCATTTTATTTTCATCATATATCATTATTATAAAGATCACTGCTTTTGTAATCAGTTAGAACATCAATAAAAACTTTTTTAATTGTTGCCTATAGAAAGAAAACAAAGCAGTTTTGCTTTTAGGTAAATGTCAAAAGTAATTATAAATTCTATTTTTAAATTACAAACAATTCATAATTTTCTGCATGTTTTGTTTCATACTTTTAGGTGTGCACGCACTCCCGAACAAGCAGTACAATTTCTACCGAGAGTGCTTCAATCAATTATGAAGAAGATGATGATGAAGATGATGACGAAGATGATGATGTTGCTGATGGTGAGTGTACAGTCATTGTTTTTGCCTTGTTTGTTTGTTTGTTTTTTCCTGAATTTTCCATTCTGGTGTGTAAAATAGAAATCTTTGTGTACAATTTTTTTTCCTTTTGTTGAAATTGCATTGTAAAACAGATTTCTTGAATGACTTGAACAGTGATAATTAAAAAAAAAGTAACTTTCAAATCATGAAAAGAGAAAAAATTTTATTGATTCCTTAATTTATTTTAGTACATCACGTGCCAGATACAAAATCATTAATTATTTGGTACTATCACAATGGATTTAAGTTGGATATATGATATTGCATCATTGTCATCAATAGGGGTGTACATTATTGAATCTGTCATCAATGGGCTTGTATGATATCACATCATTTTCATCAGCAGGGTCATACAATATCACATCATTTTCATCAGTAAGGTGGTATGATATTGTATCATTTTCATCCATAGAGTCATACGATATTGCATTATTTTCATCAGTAACGTCATACAATATCGCATCATTTTCATCACTAGGGTTGTACAATTTCACATCATTTTCAGCGTTAGGGTTGTACAATATCACTTCATTTTCCTCAGTAATACAGTAAAAATGATGATTTTGTATCATTTAATAGTTTAAATCTGTCTATTCTACTGTTGGATTCATTTGTACTACACAGATTTTAAGGATTTTTCATTTATGTCTCTGTATTGGACTATTTTCCTGGTTTCCAGAACATATTTCAGTATAAATAGTCAAATGTTTGAGTACTTTCAACTTTCATTGAAAAATTTATATTTAAATATGTACATAAAACCATGAAAATGGCCCAAAAAATAAATGAAAAAATCCTTAACACCAAACTTCTTTTGATCTTTAGTCAAACTTACATAAATGAAAAACTGATAATCAAATACATCGAATATTAAATAAACTTAATGATAGTTTGAATGCAGGTGCAATCATGTCTTTCCCCACATTCTTTTATTAACTATGAATTGCCATGAACTCTTGGAAAAGATAGTGGAATGGTTTTCTGTTACCTTCTCTACAGTTCAAAATTCTAATTCAGTTGACTCTGTTATTTCACCCATAGATTGTGGAGATGAAATGGCTGCTAAAATGGGACATATTGATCAATAGATTCAGCACAATTTATAATGAAATATATACTGGTAACAATAAAAATAATGTGAAATATAGAAAAAATAAATTTTAAAAATCCTTAAAAAAGCATTTTAGTTGGTTTTTAACCAAACTAATATTTATTAGTTTCTCTGTATTTATCTTTAGTTCTCTGTGCCAGTCTATAAATCTCTCTTTGCAAATATGACACTGTTCTTAAAAAAATAAGTTTTTATTATTTAAAAAAATTATAAAATTTTATAAAATTGTTTATTATTATTATTATAAAATAATACTATCATTTTATAAAAAAATTACAAAATTCAAAAATTATATATTTACAAATTTGTACAAGAAATCAGAAATTTTATTAAAATTTATAAATTTAAAAAATAATTATATTTGATGATTAATAAAAACATTCTAATAAATTTTGAAAAATATAATAATAAAATAATAAAATTTAAAAAAATATAATATATAAAATATAATTTTCTGTTTTTTATAATGAAGAAGATTCCTTTTAAATAGTTAATAAATTAAATTTCTCTCTTTCTTCCATGTCCTTTCAGGACATGGGTGTTCATGGTTCTCCACAGCTTCCTGGTTTTTATTACTTTTGGAAATACTTGCTTCTTTAATACCCCTAATTGTCTTTGTAATACTTATTCTTCCATCTATTTGTCAAGTAGGTTACTTGCTGTTTTCTTCTGCTTCTGTTGCTTTCAATGTATCCTGTGAGTGTTAAATTTTCCAAACCTACTTTCCTCATTATTTATCCTAAAGCATTCATATGTCTCTTTCTGATTGTTAGCAAGTTTCTTTATAAATTGCTTTCTCTATAAAAATTCCTTGTTTCTCTACCTGATTTATCTATCTCATATTATTCTCAAAAGTTATAAGTGGACCAAGATCTGAATTGTTTCAAAATCTTGTTACATTTATGACAAAATAGTCAATCTCCCAGTCATATTGAAGGATAGACACTACACAGAAGTCCATCCCTCTTTCCTTTGTGTCAAAATATTGTTACATTTATGACAAAATAGTGATTCTCTCACCATCATATTGAAGGATAGTTGCTACACAGCAGTCCAACATACTTTTCTTTGTGTCAAAATCTTGTCACATTTATGACAAAATAGTCAATCTCTCACTGTCATATTGAAGGATAGTCACTACACAGCAGTCCAACACTCTTTCCTTTGTGTCAAAATCTTGTTACATTTATGACAAAATAGTCAATCTCTCACTGTCATATTGAAGGATAGTCACTACACAGCAGTCCAACTCTCTTTCCTTTGTGTCAAATGTTATTTTTCAATACCTTCATACCTTTTTTTAGTTTCTAAAACATACCTTTCACTTGACTTTTACAAAATCATCAGTCTATAGAAAATTCAGATGTCCATATTTTTATATTAAAAATCTGAATTCCAAACAATAATAAAATTTTCAAACATATGTACATGAATTCAGTAGTTGAGTTAGCAAAAAATAACTCAAAATAACTAAAATAGTCTTTAGTTTACTAAGTAACTAAAGGCTTTGGCTAGTTGGTACACAGAAAAATCTGTAGTTTAGAAAAGACTATTATCATTAATGAAAATTCACTGACCACCTTTGTTGTTGTTGGAGATGATTTGTTTGAAGTTGCCAGTACATGATCATCCGTCAAGGTTTTCTGTCTTTACTGTTATTGTTAGAGATGATTTGTTTGAAGTTGCCAACACATGATCATCAGTGAATATTCACTGATCATCTTTACTGTTATTGTTAGCAATGATTCATTTGAAATCACTGACATACATTTCTTTCAGCATGTGTTGGGTGGGGAGGAAAAAGCTATGTAGCCATGTCTTTTCTTTGGCTAGTCACAACTCTACTTGCTAAAAGTTGAAATCTAGATTTTTATAAGAAATTTTTCCTGAACATAGGCTTGAGAAAAATACGGTTTTTCATTTTCTCTGATTGGTCAAATATTTCACATGTTGATGTTAATTTCTAACTAATAGACACTTTGATTTAAACAGTGTGTGTTGTAATGCGGAATCTTTTTGGCATGTTTGTAAGATTGTCCATTATTGGTTAAAAAATAAAGTTAGGGCATGTTTTAATACAGTATGTATGTGGGTATGTAACTGTGTTGAAAATAGTTTTATTTTCTATAAATCACTTTTTACATGAAAATCATGATAAAGCAAAACTGCCTGTTCAGAAGAATGGAATAAATTTAGAAAATATTCATCTGAAAGAAGTAAAGTTTCATATAAATTATCTTTTTAAAAAAATGTCAGTAAGTAAACATCTTTCACATTACCAACTTGGATTTGATAGCAAATTACAGATTTTATTGTGAGACAAAATTCTCAATAACCAGAATAAATCATCAACATCTCATTTAAGATATATTGGATGGAAGGATTGCTACATGATTGTATTGGACGGAAGGATTGCTACATGATTGTATTGGACGGAAGGATTGCTACATGATTGTATTGGACGGAAGGATTCCTACATGATTGTATTGGATGTGGTTGCTGTTGCTCACCAGTTTGTAGTGGGAGGAGTTATGACTTGTTACTGAAGAGTGTAGTTGATAGTCACAATGAGCCCGGCTCAGCACAGGTCAAGAGAAGCAAGTGATTTTACCATCACTCCAGCTGGAGTGGTAAGATTTGCCAGAAGAAAGGTGTGCACAGCAATCTGGCTTAATGAGTCAGATTTCTGTGCAGAGTTTGACCAAACCTTGGATTGCTGGACTGCAAAGTGGAAGTGCCCAGGAGGACAAATGCCAGAGGCTATGCTCAATGAGATATTGGAGTTACACATTTCCAAACGTGTCAGGAGGAGTTACAAAGCCAAAATAGTTTGTAGTTGATAGTTACACAGAGGCCAGTTCAGCACAGGTCATACACATTCCGAGAGGGATAGCACTGGCTTAGTTGTCTAGGAATTTGTGAGGTGTTCTTGTATCAATGTCTTGACAGCTGGTAACAGGAAGGCTACTTGGTAAAGCTGGTTCATCTGCAGGTGATTTGTCCACAAATAAATCTTTGTCGGATTCTGGTGAGGCTGTTCCTACATGCAACAACCACACTTTTCTCAGAGCTGCTCTCATTTTCTGATAAGTATAACTTGGGGAAGGGACACACATCTTCTATGTGACGTGGAACTCCATTAACTTCTACTGACTGTTGACTCTGATCGTGTGGCCTATTTTGAATCTTGTAGTGTATCTACTTTTCATAAACCTTGACCCAGACAAGATCCCCCAACTTGTATATCTCTTGTTCATCCTGCAGTTCAGGTGGGAAAACAGCATTAATTCTCCTAATTCTGATATGGTGTTTATGTATCATGTCTTCCAGGGCTGAGAGAAATGAAACACTTTGGTGTCACATTGTACTAGTACACTGCTACCTGTATAGTGCACAGCTTTCTGGCCACAATGATCTTTATAATCCTGGGGCATCTCTCCACAATTTCATTTCTGGCTGGGGTGTAGGCATATTAGAGCTGGAGCCACACACCCCTATCTTTCAGGAATTTTCTGAAATGCCTGTAATTGATGTCAGTGTCGTTGTCCATTAGAATTTCATTCAGCAGACCACACTTATAAAAAATGGTTCCAACAGATGAATAACACTGCTTGAGTCCTGATGTTGAATGGATTGCCATATTGTGAATCCAGCTTCTGCCCTCCTCCAGTGCTTCAGCACCAGATCTATTGATTGGAATTCCATAAAGATTTTATTACAGATCTTACAGTTGCCTTGGATGCCGATGAACTCACTCATCTTACAAAGTAGCCTGGTCACCTTATCCCAGGATGCTATAAGATTTATAGAACTTACAAAACTTATCTTAGCCAACATGTTTCATCCTCTG